CTCCATCTGAAGTTACCATGCAAACACAGTGCCTGCAGTGAGCTCAGAGCCCTCAGCCTCTGCTGGAATGGCTTCTTCCTTTGAACTGACACTGCCCACTGGGGGTTGGCAGCACTACTCACACCTTGGGAGCCCTGGTGACAGGACAGCTCTGAGGAGCACAGACAAGTGAATAATGTGGACTTTTATAACAGCCATTTACTCATTTTAACCCTAAAGTCCTGATAAACAGTACTTTGTGCCTGAGCTTTGCACACAGGGTTCAGAGGCAGCAGCTTTGTTCTTGTCACCATTCATTTCCTCTAGACTCATGTTAGTGACGGTGTCTCCAGCACTGTACCTGTAGAAGTCTGCTCTGGTGCCCCTTATTCCATCTTTGGTGTCAGCATGACTTCCAGGGATAGCTCATGCCTCTGGGCTGTGTTTATTCTGCATGTATACAGAGATGCTGGTAACTTCTCTGGCTCAGATACCTAGCAAGAGGGTGCTGATACACTTTCTGCCATCTTTGGACACTCTCTTGGAGCTTCTGGGCATCGTGGCAGCTTCACAGGCTTCCAGCACTCCTCTGTGTCTGTTGTGTGCCTCACATCCCCAGTACCTCAAGGCACATGTGGAGCACAGAGCCCTGTCCCCATCCATCAGCACAGTGCAGGCCAAGGGCAGCCCCTCGGCCACTCGTGTATTGATCCTCCCTTGCTACAGGCAGTCCCACATTGACTTTGGTGGAGCAACTAAGACTTGCTGAGCTGGATACCAGCTGTGCTCTGCTCTCAGGTCAGGCTGCATCTGTGTGGACATGAGCAGAAGAGCAAAGGCAAATTTGGTGCCTTGGGGAGCTCAGCAATGTGTTTGACATGTATAGCTTCACAGCCAAAGTGTCTGGTGAGGGGGATGTGATTCACATGGAGGAAATGCCAGACGTGGGGTAAAAAACAATCACCAGGCTTCAGCCTTGTAGGGTCTCCATTGCTCATGCTCACCATTCTAGGCGTGGAGTATATTTCTGCAGTAGAGCAGCAGAACACTTTCTTCTGTGTTTTGTGGAAGCAACTAATAGGATCTGCGAGCTCCCGTACATTCCAGCAGCAAAGAACAACCTTACCATGCCCAGAACCTGGGCCTCAAATGGCCTCAGGCTGCACAAGATTTGTTCTCTGACACTGTAATGCAAAAGCACTTCTGCAAAAGGTTTACCAACCCCCAAGGAAAATAGGCAGAGGCAAGTTAGCATTCTGTTTAATAGAGAGGTACTCAAGCTACTGGCTGGTCAGTCTCTGCCAGGTTCTTGGTACTGGTGGCATCTGACTGGTATAGTGTTTGCCCTGGGATTACCCCCAGTAGATAGCAGCAGCAGCAGGCTGGCAAGATGTCCATTTCACCCCCTTAACAGTGTGGCCATATATACCACAGCAGGAGTCTATAAAGCATCACATATCAGAATAACCAGTCATTCACAGAAAGCAAGGAGACTTAATTACAGAGCAGTTCTCAAAAACAAGTTACTTCTGCATGCAAAAGCTAAAGGCAGTTTACTTGTGTTAATATTGTGTTAAGTTAATATGAGCTCTTTTTCACAGGCTAGTCATCAAATATGTGCAAGAACTTCTTTACAGTGAGGTGACAGAGCACTGGAACAGGCTGCCCAGGGAGGTGGTGGAGTCTCCTTCTCTGGAGATGTTCAAGACCTGCCTGGATGCCTACCTGTGCAACCTACTGTAGGGAACCTGCTTTGGCAGGGGGGTTGGACTCGATGATCTCTGGAGGTCCCTTCCAACCCTTACAATTCTGTGATTCTGTGATCTGTTCAGGCTGTGATCTGTACTTTTTTCACACAGACACTCATCTATCACTCCCCACTTTGTGACTGAATGAGGCCATGCAGCGTCTCAGCACAATTCACCCTCCTCAAGTGGGTCCCAGCCTGAAGCGCTCACCTGTAGCTGGGTGGTACAAAATCAGGCAGTGAGGGCCGACCCTTCAGCTTCTCCCTGCCTCACAGCTTTGCCTCATCAGCATTAGCTCTGCCCCTGGCTAACGAGGCTGCAGGCTGTGCTCCGAGCCACTGCCCAAGCTGCAAAGGACTTGTGTTGTCACAGATGGTCCTTTGCAATGTGCTGAGCACTGAGCCATGGTGTGATGTTAGTTTGCTCCAGATTCTGGAGGGAGAAAATGACAGCCTAAAGCCACTGTGTACACTTTCATCCAGAGCAAGCAAACCTAGGATTGCTTGGATCGCATCAAATCATTGTGTGTGCTGAATTGCTCTCCCAGGGTACGCAATTTGATCCCTGCATTCTCCTAACAGTGCTCTTCCTTTTCTTCACTGGTCTCCACTGTCTCTAGATCTTCACTTACTTGCCAGGACTTGCTGCAGCTTTCGATATTTTGTATTCGTGTATTTTTTTTCTTTCTTTTTTTTTTTTTTTTCAGGTCTTTGGCTCCTTATTTTCCTGTTTTCCTCCACCTTAGAGTGGAGTCTGTCTCTGAGGTTTCACTTGGACGTGTTTTCAGCATTAGACAAATCCTTTGGTAACATTTAGACATACATTCAGGTATGCACAGACTCTTGTTTCCATATTACCATTGCAGTAGCCAGCAAAGCTTGCTGCACTCATATTCCAGCAAAGAAAACTTCTTCCCCTTTTGCTGCTACCTCTGAGCAGGGACATATCAAAGACCCTGCAGCTACAGAGCACCTACAGTTCTTTTTCCCTTCATACATTGTTTTTCTGTGGAGTTTGCAACACTGTTTTTTACTTCTTGCAACTCAGAATTTCTGTTCAGGTGGACACTGCTCTGAGCTACTCTTATTCCCCATCATCCATTCCCACCATCTCTTGCAAGTTCAGATTCCACTGGCATTTGGGGTAGCACTCATTCACGGCTTTTGCTGGAGTCCTTTTCTGTTGTTAGTTGTATTTTTTTTTTTAAACTGTGTTTTCCAAGCAAACCTCACTTACAGACTGGCGCGCTTTCCCTGTAACATCCACCCTGGCTCTGTACAGCAGTGCTGAACTTGTAGTCCTTTCCAGGCCTGTGGTTTCCCAAAGCACCCGAAGGTCAGGGTGTTGCAGACTTCCATCTCCTTTGGGGACCTCAGAAATATTTCACTGTTGCTTGTTCAAAGTCAGTGACTCTGCAGGCACTCTGTACGAACACTGTTAATTCTCCATCACTGATGCTATTGGGCATACCACACTGCACAAATGACCATGAGGGTAAGATTTGGGTATTTAATGTTAGACTCGTAAATCCATGCTGGGAAAGCATCCAAGACATGGCCCATTTTTGAAGGCAGTCTCACCTGCTGCTCCCATGAGGCAGAACCTGGTGCAGCTGTGCACAGAATGGCTCAGAGTGCACAAGGTGGCTCGCACCAGCCTGCTCTGGTCACTCTCATTCTGGCAATGCCCAATGCTCACCGTCTATCTCACCCTTTGCAATGATGTGGACGTACTGGAGCAAAGCAGCTGACAGACTTCTGCTCCTGTCCACAGACCTCAAACCACTTCTGGGTGAGCACGACCTCCATCACCGCTGCCAACAACAAGGCCTGAAGACGTCACCGCCAACACCGTGAGGTCTGCGGCAGCAGAATTCCTTCTTCCCTCCAGCCAACAACTGTGCTGCAGCAAATCTGTGCCTTGCTCCATGGTGGGACCGAGCAGCTCACAGCTCCCACATCCACTGCACAGCAACCTGCCCTTGGGCTGTGGCAGCACCTCCACACTCAGAGGCCCAAAACCAGGTGCTTGAAGGGATTTAATTTAGGGAGAACATGAATGCTTTCCCTCAGGATCCTCAGCTCCTCAGCATGCGCTTCGGCCCTGGAAGGCAGGCCCCATTCCCACAGGCAGCAGTGCCCAGCACCTTCCCTTCGGGATGGTCCAAGTAACCACTGTGGACCTGGGCTCCAGGCTTTGCTTTACCTGCTGAGGGGGTGAAAGACCCCTTGAGACCATCACAAAGGAGCATGAGAGCAGAGGGAAGATTTGAATGAGGAGATCTCCGACAGATAGCTGACTGAGGTACGGAAAATGTGAGGAGACAAGACGACTATTTCTCTTGTCACAACAGCCCCATCTAGACTGGGAACAAATACAGAAAGAAAGGGCGTTCCCTTGAAAACTGTAATTGAATGAGACATAAATCACAGCTCACCAAAGTGGGTTAGGTTTGGCCGATGTACAGAGCTGGGAAGTGAAAGTCACTGGCTGGGTGCCCAAGGGAGGGGAGGAGATTGGGCACGAGATAGGCAATGCAGGGTGCAGGCGGATAGAGTGCGAGCAGGTCAGTGCCAGCACAACACATCGCTCTGGGCCCTACTTCTGCCATGCCAGCAGCGTGAGGTGTGTGGCACAACTGCACAGCCTGGAACAAAGAGAAGGAGAGACCAGGACCACCATTCAGTTATAAGCTTTTTCTTTTTTAGAATTCAAGCTTACACAGTTATCTATGCCCACTATATTCATAATTACATTTTAATATCTGCATACAAAAGCTATGTAAAAATTATTTTCTTCCCCCAAATATACAAATTTTCTCTTTAGATAGTTTAAAACATTTGTGATCACAGATTTTTAATATATTTTAGGCTGAAAAAATATTACCAATCTAGCATAACTCTTAACACTGCTTGCAAAAAAATACATCATCCAAGGTAACTTTTTTTTTACTGTACTGCGTAACGTTTGCCTTACCCTCAGGGCACGAAACTGGTATAAAAAAATAAACCAAATAAGCAAAATCCACAAACCTCATAGACAAAGTAAGAAGTCCTCCCACCTAACTTCATAGAAACAAACAAACAACCCAAACCACCCTTCTCTTAAAAAAAAAAAAAAAAAAAAAAAAAAAAAAAAAAAAAGAATAACTAATCTGATGTATTTGTGAGCAAACTAAAACTGAAGAGTGCTAAGGAAGTAGGAAAAGAGAAAAAGAAATTACAGCATGTCAGCTAGTTCATGCCCTGATACTATCTTCACCAACATTAAATGTGTAATTAAATAAAGTGTCTTTTAATGTTTTACATTGTGCTCAGTAATTTACATGAATTTAATCTACACCCGGGTGTTGATGTAGATTTACATTTGATTGTCTTGTGCATAAACAAGGTTAGCTTTTGAAGAAGGTAAACTGTGCAATGGACAGTCACAAACAACTTATTACCTGCACAATATTGCTTTTTGAAGGCGACATCAGTCAATGTGGATACACACGAATAACGCATACTCTTTGCATTTGCTAACATCTATACGACACACTAAAACTTTGTGGTAAGGCCAAACCTTTTTTTTTTTTTTTTTTTTTTTGTTTTTAATTTTAAAGCAAAAATATACCATAGTAAAAAAATGTGCTCACATCGCTTTGAGTCTTTAAGTGGAAAATAAATCTCTATCACACTAGAATAAAATTTCTCTCTATAAAATTTAAATACGGATCACTTCATCGCTATATCAAAAGGAAACGTCTGGCAATCATTTCCAGATGATCACAATAACAAGACACATCAAGAGGTCCTACTGCCTCTTCCTTTGAGAAAAGATAAACGTTCAACTCTTTCAACTGCTCTCACAGTGAGAGGAGTACGTTCCTTGGTTGTGGATTTTGATTCAGTCAATGAAAAAGGTTTAGCCTTAGGAATGCTGGCTACATCTCAAAACCATAGGACTGATTTTTATAATTTATGATTCATGCAGCAAAAAGTCAATATGACGCATACAGGTTAGAGTTCCATAGCATAAAAATGCATCGCTAGCAATGACATGCTCTGCTTGTGATCAACAGCCCTGTCTTGGCAGATTTCGGATACAGCTGATCATTCTGGACAGTTTTTTTTTCACTTTCTGATGCCTGCCTCTGCAGAAGCAAGCATTTTGCTCAAGGATGGTTTTGGCTCTCGGAGGTCTAACTCTAACGCCTACATTTTGGCAGAATGTAAACAAAGATCATTATTATGCATGTTGTATGTCATTATGAATACCATAACTTAACTGAGATGACACATGAAATGAGTATCTAAATGCATGTTACTTGGGGCAAAACGATGACTATCAGGTTGATAGGAAGCATTTCTTATGCAAGACCCACGCATAGATCACAAAGCAAAAACAAAGGGTATGTGGCACATGAGAAACAAGACCCTGAACTGCAGTGAAAAGTGCCGTCTGTTGTTTCCCTCAGAAGGACAGGTGCTACAGACCCTGCAGACTGATGTCTGCCACTCAGATGGTAAATCCAGCAGCATCCTACAGTGACCCGAGTCATCGCAGGACTAAGTTCAGCATTCACCAGTAAGAGACTGCAAAAGCATCCTCACAGATTCTAGTTTTGCTCTTGTGATCATGTAAATCAGGAGGCAGACTGAGAAAGTCAACGAAGACACACAGACTAAGACTGGTAGGAGATCAGAGGTCATTAGATACCAGACGAAGAGCTTGGTCTTAGTCTTCTGTTAAGGAATTCTACTAATCCCCCTTGGTTAATCAAAACCAGATTCCAACGTAATCTAAAAAGCTAGAAAAGTACAATGACGGTATCCTTAGTGCTTAAAGGACTGCTGAACTTTTCCAAGTTGGATGCCTAATGGCCCATCTGCAATCATCAAACAGAGGATGCTCAGTTTTCTGAATCCTGATTAGCTGCAACCCCAAACTGCTTCAGTATCAGGAAGTCAGGCCATGAGCTTGGATGCCTAAATGCAGCTTGACATGCTTGAATTCAGACATTCAGCTGTGCAGGCTGTGTTTTAAAACTTCTTGACCTGCTATAATAACCTTGTCAGACAAATTCCTGTCTGAGCAATGATTTTTACACCAGCCTGTGCAAAGCGTTTGTTCTCAGCACTACCTCAAGCTGCAGTTCTGTCCAAGGTGTTACAAGTTTCTTCATCTCTCGCTGCTTCCCCATGCCAATCCAGTAACTCTCACATTTTTTCTAACTTCTGACCTTTATTTTTTTATTAACTCAGTCCCAACACTCCCAAGTGTTCAAAAGCCAGTAGTCTGGGCCCCAGTAGTTAAAAGGCAGTAAGAAGTCTGAGTATTCACTGAGTATTGACTTTCAACCTCAACATTTAGGCTGCTGTTTTTCTTTATAACCCAGAGGATGAGAAATGTTGATCTTAATGACAGATTGAACCTCCCAGGCAGCAGTGTGACTCTAAGAAACTGAGGTTCTGAGAAATACATAAAATACTATGGAGCCTACAGTGAGGTCACTGTGAATTCTACCAGGTGAAAGTGACTTTCCTTCTCCTTGGTCTCATCTGCAGCACAGTTACAAGTTTTTACACTAACTCAAGCTCACATTTAGCAAGTAGATGAGATACTCAGGCTGGTTTCAGAAGGAACTCCATGATTCTGGGAGTACAAACCTCCAAAAGATAACTTCTTGAAAGCCATTTGGGTATAGATGCTGGTTTCTTTTTTTTTGCTTTCCCCATATACTATCAGTGCCCTACCAAGCCACCCTCAAATCACATATTTAATACTCTTCACTTACTGCAGATGCTGCTCATCTGAGACTGTGCAGAACTGAAGACACGTAAGCTTTTCTTGTTGTGTGATCTCTTGTTCCAAAGGCTAGAACTTTTCCTGATTGTTGTCTCCAAGATGTAATGCTCTACACAGAATCTGTGCTCTTAGCACACCTTTTGAGATTGAGCAAATGGAGCCAGCCCACAACAGAGGTTCTTCAATTTCAGCAAGCATTTAAAGACTTATTTCTGAAGGCCTGCCTCCTTGGTTCCTGCAAAAAGCCCTGAACATCCCATTGTGTTTTATATTCTCATGGAATTATGGGCATAACTCCTAAGGAATAACATCAACACTCACCATAGGTGCATATGATATCAAAGAACAGGCACAACAAGATTCCATAACCCTGACGATAGAGCCAAAAGCACTCCAAACACTTCATCAATGTTAAAGGGAAATGGAGGTGAAAAGAACGTAATCCCTGGCACAAGATACTGTGCTCCACCTATGTATTTTCCTGAGTATCGTGATCTTATGAGGAGACAAATATATAACATATGGGTTTGGACATGGGGCATGAGCTTTGAATATCAACACATCAGTTCTAACAGTGCCCACTGAGTTGCCAGGCAAATGTATCAATGAATAGCAGAGACAGAAACTGGTACAAATGAATGCACAACACAAAAGAATGTGGGATATGAGGAAGTGCAAAACAGGTCTCTTGAGTTTCCAGGAAGAACAGAAGAATGCTTTTGATGTATCATACAAATTCAGAGAACGGTTTAATATCAAGTTTATAAAATCCAGGGACAACAGCCCTGAACGGTGATGGATAACAGAAAGGAATCACTCTCTACCAACAAAGCCCTCATTACCAGCTTCAAACAGTCCAGCATCACTGAGTACCGACTCGCAGATTTTGGCAGCTGGACTTCCTATCTTTCAGTTCAGTTTCTGCTAGTGCAGTTAGTGGAAATAAATTATGTGAAGGAATCAAGTGAGAAACTAGCCAAAAAAAAACACATACACACACTGAGGAGGGGAGAACCTAGCTGATCAACGCACATACACACACACAGGAGAGGGTAAGAGAAGGAATGAGAGAGAGATGATAAAAACACAGAAATACGTTTAAGACATCCGCTGAAGATTCATAATTATATATATATAAAATATTATATATACGTGCATATAAACTTTATATATATATAAAACAAAAGATTACTGCCAAGCAATACTATTTGTACTACCGGGACAAAGCTGGACAGTCTTGAGTGTCATCAATAACACAGCTGGTTTCTGTTCCCTCTGATGGTCATCCCATACGTTTCATTCATTCACATCCCTGAATAACTCATAGGAAATTCTGCTATTCCGACAAACAGCCCACTCCTTCAGAGTGCTGAATTTACCACAAACCTCAGAAAAAGCAGACTTCCCTACTCAGGAAAAAGCGTACCAGAGAATCAAGTCTCCCTCCTTCCCCCAACAGAACTTCCAGCGAAGTTACCTGGAGTAGTAAGAACCAAACAACCTTACCTTCCGTACACATGGAAAAAAATGATTCCGTCCCTTCCCTCACTTTGCATACACTAAATACTTGATTTATGGGGCACTGTTAAACCACATCCATCGGAACAATCCTAAGATAATGATGGTATCATGACAATGATGAAGGTCCTAGATCGTAAGGGTGATCGTTACAATAGAAACAACCATAAACACTAGAGATTTCATCTCATGAAATGGTCACTAGTACCCTGCAAAGTGAGGTAACAGCAGACAGGATTGCCAGGATCAAATTATAAATAGCTGTTTAACTTGGAGGCCAATTTATTTTCTGCCACTTCAATTTATCTCCCATATTTTCCAAGCAATGATGCATGTGAGCTGGTGACCACGCAAGTGCTGGTGAATGAAACTGGTCTGTTTCTATTTTCACTGTTAAGCTGTCAAAGCATTCACATCAAAGGACTGAAGAACAAATTGCAATAGTCACAAGTACCAGCAGAAAGGGATGTTTTCATCCATGTGTATACAACTGCCCCCAGCAACCCCAAAGAAAAACTCAAACAAAAGCCCAATCCCATCTCAAGAATCAGAAGAGAACAAAAGAAGAACAAACAGGTGTGAGAAGAGCTGGGCAATGGAATGAAATGACAGCCAGTAGTGCGACAGGGGTGCAGAGGACCGCTCCAGTCTCTCTAATCCTCAAACACCTCCAGGAACAATGGAGGGAAGAGTTCTGTGGGGCACTCCACCTTCATGTGCAGGAAGCGGCTGGCATGGCAGGCTCCAATCATTCGCAGATCTGTCACTTTCATCAGCAGTTTTGGCCAAAAATGTGCAACATGGTGTTTTCTGTAATTAATGTAGTGTTCAAATGCCAGGAGGAAACCCTCTTGACACTTTTCTATCCTCTCGACACAAACAAGGCCTGGGCGATCTGCAGATACAAAGAAACAGAATTATCTTTAAAATTCATTTACTTGACGGAATATCTGATCATAAATTAGGAAAAGTAGAATTATTCTGTTGTAAGAAAAGGAGCCAAGGAATCTGGCTCTGGCACAAACAATTTCTTTGACCCTGAGCATATTGTTTATTTGTGCCTCAGTATTATCCCTGATAAAACAAGGAAATAATCCCTTCCTTCTTCATTCTTTGTTTCTTTTGCCCATTTACAACATAGCTGTTTGGGAACTGTTTCCTTGCAGTGACTGGAGCAGCACATTCTCAATCTCAGTTGAGGCTTCTATCTATATCTTACTGTAAAAAACTAACAATTAGAAGACGTCCTTGTCAGTTATCTTGCAGTTCTTTCTTATCTGTTTCACTACAGCCTGACCAAGGCTTTGATCAGATTTTGATCCTAAAATAAGCAAAAGGAATGAATTTGTTACGGAGCACCATGGAACAACAAATGCCACAAGTTAGGCAGACTATCTGAAATAGGTCCCATGTGAGTGCTGGAAAAGCTCCTTTCATAGGTCACTCTTCAGGAGACGTTTCAGGACAGCCGATCACCTGAAACGCCTTCTGAGGCTCCCAGTTATGTATCACTGTGTGGGGAACCAAAAAAATCAGAATGTTTTGACTGAGAAAGCCAAGCGCTGTGTTGTGATGAATGTGGAAACCTTCCTGCCACAGACACAGTTAATCCTTGTTAATCACTGTCTATGTACTGTTAGCCAGTGCTCAATCTTTAAAATGGTCTTAAAACAAAACCCTTCTGAATCTGCCACTGCCCAAGAACGGAATTTCCTCTTCGGGCTGGCACAACCAGTAGTGCAAAGGACCAAGGGGCGAATGTGGTCACCCCTTCCTTTCTCTTATGGGCAGGATGTGACAAGCTGAAGCATATTTGAAAATATATATCATCTGAGAAGCAAAGAAACTGTTTGGAAATGATACGAAATAGTCTGTGCTGCTCCTGTGTGACATCGCTGAGAGACCAGTTAAAACAGTCCCAGCGTAAGGCAGCTCTCAAATGCCACGTAGCAAGCAGCGGTTGTGTCAGTAGGAAAACAACGAAGGTTGAACTAAAGCATGTGAGACTGCTGGAAATGTGTATGAACTGTACTTCTCACCCAGTGCATGACAGTATTTAGAGGAAACAGGAACTTAGTTGTAATGAAAACTGTATCTAAATTACTAGTTTTTCAGTCAAGGCAAACTGGCTCTAAACCAGATCTTTCTGATTTGTCTGATGATCAGCCCTCCTCCCTGCTGAGTCACTAAACTGAGCAAGATGTGTTACCAATGCCACTTCTACGTTTGCCTCTCTGATTTTTTCTCCTAGCACTCACCAAACTGATTTTCTGATGCATCAGGGTTTTGAAAGAGAATTTCATTTGCATTACTCTGTTTAGCAATACAAGATCTAACATGCCCTATTTCTTCTAATGAGAGATTTCTGACAAAGAATGAAGTGTTTCAAAATGGCTGGAATGCCAATATATTTCTGTTCTCACCTGATGACATGAGCAGAACAGCCTGGAGAAGGGCAACCTCGGTGTCATCCAGGTTAAATGAAGAAAGAGACATGCCCAGGTCAAAAATGGCATCAGACACTACGCCAAGACCCCCATTTTTCAGCTGGCCCCTTGTCACCGCCATCTCCCCATTCAGTGTTAAAGTCTCACTCTCGGGGTCATAGCGAACTGCTGCTCGGAGGGACATTATCTCCATACAGCAGCCTTTCAGAAGGATGATCTGGTCTTCACATGGCAGCTGCAGAAATTATAAATGGTAAAGAAAAAGATGTGTTTTTCAAACTGAGATGATTTACAACTACAGTAAATCCACGGTCATGAATTCACGGCGAACCCAGGACACTACCTAGCCAAGTACAGACATCCCGGAAACACGCTGCTTACCAACTAGCTTACCAGCTAGTTCTTGTGCACAGCACAAAAGCCCAAGATTCATACTCCTGCTTTCAAAAAGTCCTAACAGGCTGACACCCCCACATGGAAATCTAGTGATGACACAGCTGTAGGAAGTGGTCCTGGGCAAGATATTCACAGCAAAGTGCAGGTGCTTAGGAGAAGTGGCTCAGCTTTCTGAAGCTCTCGATTCCACAGGATCTCTTTGTTCGTGGCAACATTATAGAATTAAGTCCAGTAAACCTAAAGGACATAGCTTCCTGTCTGCAAACATTTCACAAGGTGTGGAGGATGAGGCAGACCCGTCAGTTGCCAGGTTAGTGGTAACAGATTGTCAGCTTTGTCTTGCATAAGGGTGAATCAAACTGAGATGGCTGAAATGATCACTGTCCTCAGCTGTTTACCCTTCTCTCTTCCACTCTTGAGCTCTCTCAGCATACAGCTTGGCATAACCTGCAATTGGGGCTGGTAAAGGTATCAGCCATCCCAGTTAGATGCACTGTCAGCCATGCTTGATTTTCACCTGACCAAGCTGAAGAAAGACATTTGAGAGAGTCCATCAGAGTAGACTGTTTTTTAAATAAACAGAATAAACAGAATGAAATATGTGTGTGTATATATATATATATATTTATATATATAATTATATTATATACTATTATATATTATTAAATTATTATTAAATTATAATATATATAATATAATATATATATTTATATATATATTATATATATATTTATCTAAAAGACACATGTTAATCAGTGGAATTCTCTGTCCATTTTAAACAACAGACAACTTATTAGGGTACGTGTAGCCTATTACAACTGATCTCCCTAGACTCTCTATTATTACTGTTGGACAGACAAAAAATCTATGGTATAGGTCCAGCTGTTATGCTGGTGCATAACTGTGATCCTCAGGGCATATAGCAAGACTCATCTCCTTCATATTTGAAAAAAAGTGGTAAGCTGTCCAAATTGGAAGATGTAGGTTCTGTTTTCTGTAAAACATATCTTCATGTTTACATAGGTAATCCAATGATAACAAAAGGAAAAAAAAAATCACCAATGCTATTTTGAAACTGTCATTAAATGAACAGTAAAAACATCACATACATGGAAAAGTAATTCTAATTTCTATGGATTATTATTACACCTACCTGAATTGCAATTAGAAATGGAAAAAAAAACCAAACACAACACCACAACAATACAAAAAACACTACAGGTTTATGTGGCAACTGTGCATTCACAAAGCAATTACACTTACTTGGTGTAAAACCATGTAGAGTGGACACCATAAAATTACCTGACATGAATGGAAGGTCTTCTTGAAGAGAATGGAACTCTTCATGAAGAGAAGAGTTGTAAGTACAAAGCCAGCCACAGACAGCAAAAGCAGTTAAATCATGCCGCTATTTTTTCAGCAATGACAACTTCAACTTCAGGTGTAAAGTGTTTAATACACAAGAAATATGAGTCATTCTGTTCAGGGCAATCACTCTGTTTGAAACTCATACTCAGCTCAGCAGTACTGTATGGAAGGCTGCACAGAGTGGCAGTCTTGCCACCAGTGACAAAGCCACTGTGACTCTGAGACTGAAGTAGGAAAGGAATACAGTAAGAAAAAAGATGTCTAAGGGCAGCCATGAGAAATAAAGAAAAGGAAATGACAGAGAAAAAGTGAACAGAAGAGAAAGAATCATAGAATCATTAAGAAATGAAAAAAGGGAGAAAAAAGGAAAGGTTCTGGAAGAACTAGTTGATGTGATTGCCAAGCCACGCTCTTTCATATCTGTAAAGGCATGGCTCTCAGGCAAAGTCCCCTGTGACTGGGAAAAAGGAGACATCATTCCAATTTACAAGAAAGGAAGACCTGGGGAACTACAGGTCAGTAAGCCTCATGTCTGTTCTTTGGAAGATCATGGAACAAATGGAAGGGATATTAAAACACACGCAAGAAGAGGTGATCCGAGGCAGCCAGCACAACTTCAGATCATGCCTGACCAATCCAGTGGCCTTCTACAGCACAGCAACAGCATCACTGGACAAGGGAAAAGCAAATCATGTCAACTGGCAGGACTTTTGCAAGGCCTTTGACATGGTCCCCCACCACATCCTTATCTCTAAATTGGAGAGAGACGGATTTGATGCTGGACTATTTGGTGGATAAAGAATTGGTAGGAGGGCTGCAGTAAGAGAGTTGTGATCAACAGATCTGTGTTGACCATGTTGCTGAGGCTGATGACAAGTGTTGTTCCTCAGGGATCCATCTTGAGACATGTGCTATTCAACATCTTAATCAATGCTGAAGATAGTGAGGCTGAGTGTACACTCAGCAAATGTGCTGATGACAAAAAGCAGAGTGGTGCAGTTCACACAATGAAAAGGAAGCAATGCCACCCAAAGGGACCTGGACAGGCTCAAAAAGAGGGCCCACGTGAACCTAATAAGGCTTAACAAGGCCAAGTAAAAGGTGCTGCACATGGGTCAAGTCAATCCCAGATATATGTATAGACTGGGAGAAGAACTCATTAAGAACAGCCCTGCAGAGAAGGATTTGGGGGTCCTGGTGGATGAAAGCTGGACATAAGCTAAACCTGCAGTCTGGAAAGCTGTTTCCCAGGCTGCATTAAAAGAGGGGTGACCAGAAGAGACAGGGAGATGATTGTATTCTACCCTCATAAAGCCCCATCTGGAATACTGCCTGGGACATACGAAAGATATGGAGCTGTTGGAGAGGTTCCAGAGGAGGGCCAGGAAGACAACTAGAGGGCTGGAGCACCTCTTATAAACTTGCATCAAACTCATTAAGTGCTGCTTAGTCAATCTCTTTCATAGAAACATACAGCACTCTCAGACTGAGCCTCCGTGGAAATTAAGAATTGAGATAATGTTTGAATGCTGTATAGGTCCCATGGGAGAAAGGAGTTTTTTTGTTTTTTTTTTTCCTTATAAACACAGCCCATGCAGTATTCCTTCTAAGAAAAAGATACGGATTAGAAAACAAAGTTAACAAGACAGTGCCCCCTCAAGAAAGGAGCAAACATTTGTCATTTTCTTTATGCTTCAGCAGGAACTGCATGACACCTTGGGACAGCTGTCCTATCCCTTTCCATTCACTATGTGTTGTCCTTCTCTGCTGTCAAACCGTGCTGCACACAGGTGTCAGGTTTACACAGTGATTCAGCTGTAAACAAAGCCCATCCTAGTTGAACTGTGCAGCCTACAGAGGTGATGCCAAACAACTCCTTGACTTCTTCAGCCATGCTTCCTGTTCAGCTCTGACACAAGTGGGCCCATGGTAGCCAGGAGGGGTAGAAGATGTCAGACAGGCACTGCAGTCTGCGTGTGACTGGCAAAGCCTTCTAAATTGAAAAGACTACCTTATTACATCAGAGCAACTTCCCACCAACAAACACCAAATCAGAGGGGACAGCTTCCCTCCGACACTGGATGCTGCAGGGGCTTCCTGATCTATGGATACATTCCTTGTGTTTAAAGTCTTCATGCTTGGTCGCTATTTCATACTCTGATGGAGCCAATGTTAAGTAGCCAGCGAAAGCTATTTAAACTATGGCAACTACTGATATTTAACACTTCTTACTCTGCAGATGCTAAGGGATGTAAAGACCATTAGCTGACATAAATAACACTCCTTGATTGACCTTAAAGAAAAGAACCACAGAAGAGGAAAATACTACTTAGACTTCTTTCCTGTCTGATTGTGTGTAAGAGGAAAAAGCAGTTCTCATCCTAGGGGACACAATGAACTCCCCAAACATGGTCACACTCCAGCAGAGGCAGGTGCTTCTCTGCAGTGTGGGAGGGAAGGCAAGTATACTTCCACAGCTGGGTTGAGGATATTTCTGTATTAAAACTCCAATGGTTGTGGATCCTAAGGGACTCACAAGACTTAAAATTATTTAAATTATCAAATCTGAGTTACTATTTCAGTTATATTCACGCTGCAGTTATGATAATGTTTTTTACTCTAGGAAAAAAAAATCATCAGCCATTGCATCTGCTCCTCCAATAAAAATGCTACTTTGCTGTAAATGAAATCAGCCTAGGGCCTCTCTACTCCTAATGTGCAGCCAAGCCTGTTTCAGTCTATTTACAGTACATTTTACATGTGAGTACCTACCTGGGATGACACTCTATTACTTAACTCTTTTATGCACTCCCTCCCTATTAAGGAAGAAAATGCCTAGGGAAAAAAAATGAAGCAAGTGTCACGCCTGGATAGGGATGCATTCCTGAATTTGGAGAATTTATTACTGCACACATCCAACTCCACAACAGTACACCTGTCAAGGAGCTGGAAAGTACAGAAGGAAGCCTGTGCTAAAATATCTGATTAAACATATAAAATATAACTCTAGATGGTCTGTTTTTGTTCACTGCTTTGCTCAAGGCTACTTGTGAAGGCACATTCAGGTCTCCAGTGAATTGTGATGAATTCTAGATGAACAAAATCAGGAGTTCAGTAGTCATGGGAAAAAGAAAAGTCATAAAAATTCAAATCCAGTTTTGATTCTCTTGTTTTTTTCTGATTTTAAACATAGTGATTTTTTTTTTAAAGCATAATCCTTCCTGTTACAGTTCTGTGCCAGTATTTTGCATACAGCATAACCATAGCTTTGTAAACGAGGGATGCAAGCAGTTTGTCTTACCTCACAAAACATAGGCAACTTTTTGGCAAAATCCACCACTCTTGTAATCGCTGGTGTGATTATTTTTGTAAACTGGCTGAAGGCTTCTAAATCCACTTTCCCCCCTTCTGGGGCATTAACTATTGGTGCTTGCCCAATGTCTTCTGGCTAAGGATATAAACAAAAATATTTAAAGGAACAATCTATCTTACAGTGAGCGTTTGATATTCTAAAAAACTCTGTTTGGCAAACATTACAGTTATAAATGATACTATCCTTTTTTTAAGTGATGTCCCATTATGGCACAAAATGTGGATTCCGTGAAAGAGAAGACTGCACACAGAAATGGGGGCCTGGCACCACCGTGCTGTGTGGACAGCTGCATCAGAGGCACAAGTAGTTTCTTCCTTGTGCTTCCATCCAAATACTTTGTGGGTGTAGCTTGTGTGCTTTTTGATTAAAAATATAGGCATGATCTTGTTTCTCACAATGATGAGAACTCCCAAGCTGGTCTAAAAGCAAAGGGAGCTGAGATGACTTGCTACCCTTAGAATATTCTCAGAGCTTTGCAGCTTTGCAGGCAATTTAACCTACTCCAAGTTCTGAAATCTTCTCCAGAGCAGATTGCCTGGTATCACTGAGCTCCAGACAATTGCCAAGGCCTGTTTCCAAAACTAGGCTAAAACAACAGATGACTAAGAACTGGCAACACAAAGCTTGTCTGGATAAAATGACTAGAATTTGAGCTTGTCAGGGTAAAATTCTTGTTGAAAATCACCTTCTGTGTGACTTCAAATCAAGGCTTCTCCAAGTGAGAAAAAAAAAAGCCAACAATTTTCAAGCTAACTATGGGAACACAGAATGCAGTAGGTATGATCAATATCCACAGCAAGTACTTTTTATTCCATTTGCATTTTGACTTGCTCACCTGATTCTATGACAGTTTGTCAATGTTACTGTGTGTTTTTAAAACACATATCAAAGTTGTTCCTCTGTTTGCTAAGTGCAGCTTTGCAGCTATAAAATACCTGCCAAAGAGTATGCAGAAATTCCATTTTGTTCGTGTTAGATAGTTAAAAACTGGCTAAGACTTAGAGAAGAATGCCTTTAAAACTGATGGATTTCATGGCATTTATGTAAGGGCACTTAAACAGGAGAGGTGCTGAAGCTGCTGTTGATAATGAAAACTTGTGCTCAACATTTTTTTAAAGCAACACATCATAGAAGAGCCTTCCTGATCCTTGTCAACAATCCGAATCCAAACCTAACTTCTTTCACAAAAAAACTCAGCAGTGAGCTAATAAAATAAGCATCAATTGTGGAAGAACAATGAAGAGCACTGGGTTCAATTATCTAGGAGTTCCTCCTGCTAAAAAGCTGAAATAATCCCAGTTTTAGGCTGACTCTCCCCATCTCTGAATCTTGGGAAACTAAACCACATTGTCTGTGTGCTCATGATAAACAATCTTCATCACTTTCAAGCACGAAGACCCAAAGCAAAAGCCACACATAACAGTGTTAGCAAGAAAAAGAGAGAACATAGCATTGCCACGGGAAAGCCAGAAGAATTCAGGATGACTGGCTAAAACCAACACACTCCAGAAAGGCAAGCTGCTGGAGAGCCCTTGCCACCTACCTCACCTCAATAGAAAAAAATGTCCAGACCTCCAGGGAGCTCCCACTGTTGAAGAACCAGCCTCAGCTGCCAAAGGGCTGACCCACTGCTGCTGGGGTGTGCAATCAGCTCCTCTTGCTCCCCAACAGCTTCTGGCAGGAAGTTTTCAAAGCCCTCTGCCTGGAGTTGTCAAGCCATCCTGGACTTCTGTGCTCACTACAAGGTGTCAGTGAGCTCCCTACACTTACCTTGAAACTGTAGGGCTTCAGCATGTGAGCCCTGAAAAAAACAAGGAGGCCCTGGAGCACTGGGAGTAGTTTGATCTGGCCTAGGAACCAGCTGTGGAAATCATAGCTAATTTGTGAGCTGCCTGTTACAGCTGTCACCCCTGCCTTTGCCCCATTTGACCTTTTTCCCACTAATCCTGTCCTCACATCACCTCATGCTCCCCTTTTTATTCTAAAGCAAGTGACACCAAAAAAACACTGCTGTCTGAGTAATCAAATGTGATACCATAGCTGATGTTACAATTGCAGCTTCTTGGCCTGTTAAAAACAATGCAGGAAAACTGGAAATCTCTCTGCTGCTTCTTGCCAGCAACCACTGGCTGCATGTTCTTGACTGCACACTACTGTGAACATGTGGCCATTTGTACAGAAATTGCTACTAGAATTAACATAACTCTGTAAAAGGGATAAGCTGCTTTGAATCTAAAACTTATCTTAGCAATTTAACAGTGGGTCATGATTCCCATTGTGGATTAGGCAGTAGGAGCCTGTGCTTGCAATAAAAGAATATTTTCTACCTGATTTGGTATACACAGACTGTTAAACATGCCTGTGAATTCCTGACATTTAGTCTGTAATCCCTCTTTTGTGCTACCTAAACATTCCGTATTCTGCACAGTTTTTCCTTGAAATCTGAGTTAGAAAAAAACAACACACCCCACACGTTCTTTTTCTAAGCTTAAGCATCACAAATCACAGATTTTCCTCAGCAATACTCTGAAGATTCATAATTTACAAACCTGCAATACTATAGTTCAAGTATCCTCCTGCTATCATTGAAATTTATTTTTCTTTGTCAAATTTAATTAATGTATTCCCTTTGGAACAAGGAAACAAAAAGTACAGCTTATTAATTAAAAATGTCAACTTCCATTTTAAATTTGCCACTGTTTTCAACATTTAAAATACTTTGCATGCTAGTCCCAAGACAATGACTACTATATGTAATAAATAAATAAAAGATGTATTATACATTATAGATGGATATTGCTGTTAATCAGAAGAGAATCATTTTTTTTTCACTTTTTCTTATCAAAGAACATTAAAAATATCCAGCTGGGTAAGCCTTAACTCATCAGAAAGCTATTTATCTATTAAATACACGGTCTGATCAAATACTGAGACTGAGCCAAGAATAAACAATCATCAATTCTTCATATAAGTCAAAACACTGGCACATACAACAGTGGTTGCAATGCTGAGCAGGGATTTCAGAAGAAATAAAGGAACTTGACTTCAAGAGCAGTGTGAATGTCTGCAGTCCCTACCAGAAATTTCCTTTTCTGCTTCCAGTGGCTTCCTTGTGCATTGGTGGCCACGTGTGCTTCGGTGACAATTTTGATCAGCTCCCATTCCTCATCCGTTGGTTCTGGTTTGTGACCAATTGTTTTCTGCAGCTCCTCCCGACGCCTCTTCTCTCGATTTTCTTCTATCAGCTTCCTCTTGGCCAGACGCTTGCTGTCATCCAACACCACTAGCAGGGATAAAAGCATACAAGAATGGCAGGAGGTTATTAAAGTTGTCTGGACTTTGGTCTTTTCTATCTATAGCTGATGTACTAATTGATTACCAACACCTTAACTAATGATAGAATGCTTTGAGTTGAAGAGATTTTAAAGATCATCTAGTGTACCTCTACCATGGGCAGGGCTGCCACCCACCAGCTCAGGCTGCCTAGGGCCCCATCCAACCACTGTGCAATCTTGTGCCAGTGCCTCTCCACTCTCATACTGAAGAATTTATTCCTTGTATTCATTCTAAATCTCTTTCAGTCTAAAGTTAACATCCCTTGCAAAAAGTTGGTCTTCCTTCTGTTTATAAGTTCCTTTTAAGTACTGGAAGGCTGCAATGAGATCTCCTGGAAACCTTATTTTCTCCAGACAGAACAAGACCAGCTCCCTCAACATTTCTTCATAAGAGGTGCTCCAGCCCTCTGATCATCTTAGTGACCCTTCTCTGGATGTGCTTCAAAAGCTCAACATCTTCCCTGTGCTGGGGGCCCCAGGCCTGCAGATGGGGCCTCACGAGGGCAGAGCAGAGAGGGACAATCACCTCCCCCTCTGCAGGCCATCCCTCTTCTGGTGGAACTCAGGATACAGCTGGCTTTCTGGGCTGCACGCACACACTATCAGCTCACATCCAATTTTTCATCCACCAGAATCCCTTAGTCCTTCTTGCAGTGTTGCCCTGAACCTATTCATTCTTCAGTCTGTACTGAAGTTTGGAGATTGCTGGCTTGTCTGCCGCTGCTCCTTTGACACACCTGTATGTGCCTTCTACAAACGCCTCTCTATGGTACTGATAACTGCCGGTCAGAATTAGACTCAGACAAACTTCTCATTCTGCACAGCTCCTAAATGGCTGATGCTCAGTACTGTCTGATGTGTCCAAATGAGCTGGATTTGAAATGATGATCCAGAGTCATTCCGTTCTCTCTCCTTAAGTACCATCTGCCTTTGATGAAATTGCTTCACTTCTTCTGTTTCATTTTGTACAGAAAATGCCACACATTACATTATAACTGAAAAATGCTAAGTTGGAATATTTATATTTTCCTTATTGGCTCTGGTTTTTTTGTTTGTTTTTGTTTTTGCAGAGGATTACAATGGCAACAACCATATACAATAATGCATAGGGGGATTTACATGAGTTCCTCACACTGCACTAATTGAAGTTATTGGTGTAAATCCTTGTGCAGTGGCAGGAAAAGAAGATTCCTAAGGGTTAATCTTACAGCCATATGTTCTAGTTCTTTAGAATGAGAGTCAAATTATTTGCAGATAACTTCTTCGGGGCTAAAAATAAAACAAACAACTGCAGGATGACTCATACAACGACATTCAATTTCACATCCTCCAGAATTTTCTAAACAAGATGTTTTTTTCAAGCAAAGTGTCCATCCAGATGCATTTCTCCCTCTTTTCCTCCTAAGAGTTAACATTCCTATTGTTACTCAGTCCAGTAAGGCCAGAAGAAGGTGCAGTCTGGTGAAGCATAAACAAAAAATTAGAGCGTTCAGAAGTGGATTGCTGCAATGAGTGTAATTCTCCAGAACAAATGATTAAAACCAAAAAATGTTGGCAGTTCCACGCTAGTTTAACAATCTTCACCAATCAACATACTTTAAGCAAATAAAAACATTAAAAAAAAGAGAGAAAACGAAGAAAAAGAGAAAAATATACTTACAATCTGTTGCCATGCCAACAAAGATACATTTTTTGAAGCGACATTCCTGGCACTGATTTCTTGTTACTTTGTCTATCACACATTTTCCTTCATATTTACAGGAATAGGTTGGATGGAGGTTTTTCTGAATGGTTCTTCTGAAAAATCCCTAAGTGCAATAAATAAATACATTGGAAAACATAACTACTGTGTAATTTTTTCAAATTGGTTTGGTAGAAATGTACCTATGGATGCAGCATAAAATGCTCCATTAAACTCTCAAGGAGGAAGAGAACAAAACATTATTATAGATTATGGTATTTCTTTTCAGAGTTTCAAGAGACATCTCCTCCCTAAAAATTAAAACATATAGGCACCTGAGATATGTAAAAGCATAAGGAAAGTTGTCTTGAGGAAGAAGAGACTGATTACGTGTTTTCAAGTCCTGCATTTCCATGTGCAAATTTTATTGCTGATTTGAATTAGTTTTTATTTTAAGCCCCCTTCTAAATTACACAATGATTTCAAAGGATATTAGGAGACACACGCAATTAAAGGACAGCTTTTGCAAATAGCAAAAATGGTGGTGTATAATTAAGTGTAACTAGAGGACTAAGAATGAACAGCTTTACTCATGTCCTTCCAGTGAAGTAAAATAGCCAATCAACCAACCAAATCTGGGCAAGGCTATGAATTTTGCAGTCAAACACAATTCACTCAACCTTTGAATTAGGTCCTAAATAATGGATCCATAATTCTGAAATGATATGCATTTCTGAGAAAAGGAATTCATTCATACTTCCCACAGATGTCTGTATTCAAAACAAACATCACCAACAAAGACCTCCCTATGCATATTCTATCTATCTATAATAATATATGTACAGCCAATTGCAGTTGATAGGAGGTCAGATCCTCAGCTCACACGAAGTAATGTAGCTCCACTGAAGTCTCTGATTTGAACATACCACGCACCCTGGCCTTAGGTAAAGAAATCAGATACAACTTCTTTCCAAACATTGTAGACCTAATTTCAACATGAGTTTTCTCACAGACTTTGGCAAGAGCTGGATGAAGCATCCAAGAGCACAGTAGTATGGACCAGACAGACTGCTAAGGGCAGAAATTTACTTCACTTTCCACCACTGTTTGAGACTGTCTACACTTAGCAACACAGTTTGGAACTGCCTTGACATAAAGAACACACTGAGATACTGCTCCAGTTTGACTGGGGCCACTGCGAATAGCTTCAGTTTCTTTGCAAACAATGGTGAAATCCAAGTGAGATGGGATTTTATCTAACATACAGTCTCTTCAGCTCAGATTTTAGTTACTGAACACCTTTTTACTTCACTAAGCAAAAAGCCTCTTTTTAATCATATTAAATAACGCAAGGTAAAATCTTATAACAGTAATATCTTTTAACGCAGAACATTTAATTAAGACATACAGATAAATCTACATTTCAGCTTGAGCTCCCAACTCCTTCAAATACACTCTCATTAGAATTTTATCTTATGACAACCATCTTGAGCTAAGAGCAAAATTCTTTTTTTCTTCATAACAAAAAGACCTAAAATCTCAATTAAATTGAGCTGCATAAAGCATAGATATGAGTCTTTCTAAGACTGGGATCTGCGGGGTTGAGTCGAAATCCAGGAAGTCAATAGTAAGATGTTCTTACGTGGAGTCTGGATCTCAAATTCTCATCCTCCCAACTGGGCTTGGATCCACTCTCTACCCTGTGTCAAATTCCTAGAGATGGGGCCTGTTCCTCTCCTTCATGAAGATGGCTCTGAACACTCAGGTGCACTGGCTGACTTCTAGTTACAGCAAGAAATGGGGAAACCTCTGATGAATTTCTGAAAGTGGTACTGAACTTCTGTTTTCCAAACTTTCCATGAAACTTACTGTAGCTCAAGTTTAATGATTGTTAACACTTTTCATCACACATATGCTGTATGGAGTCCAGCTTTTTATTCTTCCATAGCTTTGCATTCCTTACATTTTTTTTGTTGTTAAAAAACATCTTTGACCATCACTAGATACAATGTGATAAGGAACTTGCTCTCCATATTGTCCAAACACATCAGATCACCATTTCTCTGCCTTGAATCACTTCCAGCCTTAGTCTTGGTGACTGCACACAAATTTATGTCACATTTGTTTCTTGCACTTTGCTCATATATGCACATGCATAAATAGGCATGCATAGATCAGCTACGAGAAGACCTTAAAGACAGTCTACTATCTGTCCCCCTGCTATAGGCAGAGTTGTCACCCACTGGATCAGTGGCCAGGGCCCCATTCAACTTGGCCTTGAATTCATTCAGGGATGGGGTATCCACAACTTTTCTGGGCAACAACTTCCAGTGCCACTTCACCCTCTGAGTAAAAAAAATTTCTACTGATATCTATGTCTTCTCTCTTTTAGTTTAAAGCCATTCCCCATTGCCCTATCAATATCAGACAGTTGGTTCCTTTCTGTTTGTAAGCTCCCTTCAAATAGGAAAGCAGCAATTAGTCTCCCCAAAGCCATCTTCTTTCCAGACTGAATAAGATCAGCTTCCTGAACTTCCCCAGCTCCACAGGAGTTCTTTAATCATCTTCATGGCTCTCCTCTGCAACTGCTCCAACTGCTCCATGTCTTTCTGAAGATCACCATTCCCAAGACAGACACATGGAGGACACCAATTGTCGTTGGCCTCCACCAAGACACAGATTTGTTGACACAACCCTCTGGTTACAACCGTACAACCAATTCCTTCTCGACCAAATAACCCACCCTTCAAATCCATACCTTTCCAATTCAGAGATATAAATGTGATGTGGGACTGTATTAAAGCCATTGCAGAATTCTAGGTGGATGACATCAATCTCTTTTCCTTTATCTAGTGATGCTGTCATTCCATTGTGGAAGGCCACCAGATTGGTCAGGCATGATCTGGCTTTGGTGAAGCTGTGATGACCGTCTCAGATCATCTCTGCTTCTTGCACGTGTCTTAACATCTCTTCCAGGAGAATGCGTTCCATGATCTTCTCAGGAACAAATGTGAGGCACACTGGCTTGCAGTTCCCTTGGTCTTCCTTTATCCCTTTCTTAAAAATTGGAGTGATACCTCTGTTTTCCACTTCAGGCACCAGGGATACATGTCACCAGGTCCCACAGACAGTCAGTCTCATCAGGTGGTCTTGATCTTGCTCTCTTTTTACAGAGCGATGGATTTTTATACCCTAACCCTTGCCTAGAGGTTCAGGGACCTCTCTTGAGAGAAGTGGGAAGTCTGACTGCCAATGAAGACTGGAGTCAAAGAACTTGCTGAGTATCTCTGCCTTCTCTATGTCTGCTGTTACCAGTTTTACCTTCTCATTTAGCAGAAGAGGTCCTGGCCTGTCCTTGGACTCTTTCTGTTGACCAATGTACCTCTTCTAATTTTTCACATCCCTAGCCAGGTTCAGTTCCACCTGCGCCTTTGTTTTCCTGCTTCAATCTCTGTATAACCAGATTACATGCTCGCATCCTTCCCAGGCCACATACTCCTGCTTCCACTGATTGCGTACTTCCTACTTATCCCTCAGTTTAACCAGCAGGTCCATGCTCAGCCATATCAGTTTCCTGTCTCCTCTGCTTGATTTCTTATGCTGGGGGATGGAGAGCTCTTGTGCTCTCAGATTGGTGTCCTGAAAGAGTTGACAGATCTGTTCCATTCCTTTGAGAGAGTTTCCCAGGGGATCTCATCTAACAGTTCCTTAAACAGCAAAAAGAGTTAGCTCTTCTGAAATTCAGGAGATCTTTGTCAGATCCATATTTTCCTTTCAATTTATTCTCTGCAAGCACTTGCCAAAAGTAAATTTTTGGTTATCAGCCAAAATAAATTTTGCTACAAAATTAGTTTTCAGTGGAAGCAACTAGTAAATGCCAGATTTTTGAGAACTGATTGCACGCAACTTTGCTGATAGTTCATACAACTCAAAATGTGTATGTAGATCCTCCAAAATGTGAGTTGAAATTGTTCACACAAAATAGCTGTCAAACCATTTTGTACAGTTAATACATTTGCAAAAATAACAAAACAACGCAGTCTGGAAGCTAACTGTAAGTTGGAAAAAAAAATTAATTACTTGTTGCAAATTGTCAACTTGGCTCTTTGTGCATGAAAGCATTATTTTAAATTATACATCAGAAGATATAAGTAGATTTGTTACACTATATTTTACAATAGCTGGTGGGCATAAAAATAAATACTTCAGTTCAAATAACAAAGAAACCCTAGCAGGAAATATGGCAAGAAATCCTGCTGTTCAGCTGGGAGCAGAAGCTATTTCATAATGCCACACCATTGCTTACTTGTCACTATATCTGAATTAAGCCATATTCCTGAGTTTTATGTGTTGTTACTGTCTGGTATATGTGATATAAATATGTAAAAATCACTTGACTGGTTCCACAATTTTTCTCACATATAAATATTTTTTAATAAATATGTATATGTATAAAACTGATGAATATCACTATAAACCTCCTACACACACGATATTTAAGTCTTTGCGCATTTCATAAATGTATCAAAGTGCAATGCTGTACAACAGAAGAAACTACTTCAGGGCTGTTACTGTGATGTGGGGATCTAATGCCAATCCAAACCCAACGTTTCATATTCAAATATTCCTGACTTTGGAGACTAACAAAACATGACTTTTGTGGTTCAGTCCCATGACACTAGTGCATGACATGTGTGGTTCCATTTGTTTAGAAAAAAATTCTTTTTCTGTAGGAAAGAATAGCTTTCTTGCAGGATCTCAAGCCATCAGGCAAATTTATGGCAGTGAAATCACGCAAAATGTGCCCAATCATGTTATTCATTTATTTTTATCATTTACTTGCCCAAAGCAATCTTTTTTTTTTTTTTTTCATTTTTCATGTAGCTTTAGAGATGAAAAAGACTGAAAGCATATTTTAATATGGTTAAGCTGAAGAAGTAAAAAAAAAAAAATTAAATCTGTTTTAACTTTGTGATGATGCTTCCTGAAGAGATGGATGTTACTGTCACATGAGCATGTGGAAGACATTTTTGGTTTTTGTTCTTTGCAGTGATAATGAGATACACTGGAACACTGTTCATCACCACAGACTCGTCATGGCCATAGGCAGAATCTCAACTATTGCATAAAGAGTTTCATTGAAGTTCTTGTGAGGATGCTGATGTACACTGGCCAAGAACACGATCAGAAAAAAAAACACTAAAAAAACGGAAAAGAAAAAGCTAACAGTTAACAACAAAAGACCTAAATTCTCTGTCTTCTTTTCAGAAGCAAACACTGTTAAAATCAACTATATTCCTTATGTATATGCAGATCAGCAGCACAGCCAGATATGGCTTATCATCAGTACTGGATGTTCTTATTCGCTTCTAATCTGTCTTTGTTTTATTTGGTAGTACAGTTCAGGAAATCTGTATAAATGGAGAAGCTGGAGAGCTATTTCTGATTCCCACCTTCCCACCATGCCATTTACCTTGCAACCTTCACAAGTGATGCAGCGATAATGATATCCGGTGGCTTTGTCCCCACATACTACACATAGCTCATCCTTGTCTAAGTAACTGGGTATATACCCTGCAAAGAAAAAGAGGATGTGGCATGTAAACTCTATATAAAATGATATGATACATTTGATATAAAAATATTGTATTAACATTCACCGCAGATATTATCTACTGGCCCCACACTTCTCAACTCACTGGATTTCCTGAATAAAAAGCTCATGCTAACAGTATCACAGAAGTATTTAAACGTTGTATGCAGTGTCTTCTACTTTTCAGATCGTTTCAGCACCCGCTGGTCAAGAGGGAAAAGGCATAACATAACTGCTTTCTCCTGCAATAAACAATAGCTCAGAAAAACAAATATATTCATTTTTATATCAAGCGCTTTGATGTGAAAAATAAAGTAACAGCAAAACATAGAGTCCACTTCTCTTTCTGTTTCTGAAAAACAACCGATGTGCTTGTATTCTGAGTTAAGATGCCAGGTTGCAAAGTGACTCAGGGACATGCTAGTAAGAAACATTTACTGACAGTGTATTTGTTTCAAAACAGCTCTGCAGGTGTGGTTGAGAAGTACCAGCAACAGATCGCAAAAGCTGCATAGATTATACCTTACCTGGGTGTGTTCCACTGTTGCATTTAATATACCTTGAATTTAGGGCAAAATAGGTGGGCATTCAAATATGTGTGTGTGTACATATATGTGTGGGAATGACGTTTTCTCTTCTGAAGTGGTTCATCAGACACCCAACGAGTGAAATCAAATATTACTACTACAAAAAACTGCTGGGACTGCTTGGTTCTTTTCCCAAAACATCATTAGTTTTGACAACATAAGCATATTTTTGCTCTTATGTAAAACAAACGAACAAAAAAACCCAAACACAACAATTCTGATGTAATGTAATGTACTGTAATTCTGAACCAAAGAGAACTTTCAAATGTAGTAAAATACAAAGCTTTCAAAGGAAGTGTTTCCATAATTTATAATTCAATGGAGTTGTAGTACATATTTTTTCTTAAGGAAAATCCTCTCTGTATGCAAAGGTCTAAGATTCATTTTGAGAGGAGAGAGGGAAGTGCAGCTATTCATTTAACACTCGAAAATTATTGAGGTACAGTAAGTTCTTCAGAGAATGACTGAGAGGCTGAGGCTGGAAGGCTCCTCTAGAGATCTCCTGCTCCAACCTCCCTGCTCCAGCAGGGACATCATAGGTCAGGGTCATGTCTGTTTGAGTTCTGACTGCCCATAATGATGGAGACTCTCTAACTCCTGTGAGCGTTCTGTGCCCTCACAGTAAAATGAGATTATTTTATTATGCTTGTACAGAATTGCCTGTATGTTTATTTGTGCTCTTTACCTCTTGTCCTGTCATGAGACAACACTGAGATGAGTTTGCTCCGTCTTTATCACTCAGCCCTGTCAAGTTCTCTTTTACACATGGATAGGATCCCAGTGAGTGTTCTCTGTTCCAGGCCAACCAGTCCCAGCACTCCCAGTCTCTCCTCCTATGTCACACTCTCCAGTCTCTTCTCTACCTTTGTGCTTTTACTGGACTTGTCCCACTGTCACCACATCTGTCTCATACCTCAGAGTCTAGACTCGGTCCCAGCAAAGCAGGCACATCTCAGCAGTGTAGAGCAGAGGGAAAGCTCACCTCCCTCATTCTGCTGGTGATGACCCTCCTAATTGAGACCAAGATGTTGCTGGCCTTCCTCACCTCAAGGGCACTCTGTTGGCTCACATTCAACTTGTTGCCCACCAGGAATTCCCAAGTACTTCTCTGCAAATCCCCTCCCAGCCAGCAGGCATCCAGCCTTTACTGCTGCATTTATTCCACCCCAGGCAGAGGAACTGCTATGTCCCTTTGATGGACCTCAACAGATCTCTTTGTCATTTCTACAGACTGGTCCATCTGAATGGCAGCACACCCATCTAGGACATCAGCCATCCTTCCCAGCATTGCATCATCTACAAACTAGCTGAGTGCAATTTATGAGTGCAACTAGGACAGTCCTTTGGACACAGCTGGCTGGGACATTATTCCCTCCATTGCCTTGCTGCAGCTATCAGCATCATGAAACATTAAAGCAGACTCAAAGTTTGCTGCCCTGCCATCAGCACAGCTTGGTGCAGCTTGGGGACTTGCATGGAGATCAACCAGCACTAGGACTCAGGCACCAGCAGGCTGTCAGAGGATGCTGCCACGGGGATGGCTGTCATCTTCCTATGACTAAAACTCAGAGTAAGCTCAATAACAGGTGGCTTAAAGAAAGTGCTTTTTTAAGACTACACTTGCCAAAGGTTCTCCAGAAAGAAAAGTCCTCAACAGACAGCAAATACTTGAAATTACTTCAGCTTAAATTAAATGAACTTTCCAGGGCTGATTTGGAGAAAGGAAGAAGAAACAAGGCAGGAAATAATTGTAATGCCTACTTTATATTTTTGAGCATAATTCTGAGAAGCTAAAATTACAAGAAACAAATACATCTCTTAGGTAACACTGTGAAACAGAGCCCAGTTGCCTGCATCATCGATTTACTAATCCTCCTACCACATCAGTCTACAGTATGGCAAAATATTAGTTCACATTTAAGTTACATTTCTATATTAAAAACTTGGGTACAGACTGGTGGACACATGGATCTGGTTCCTGACCTTGAGGGAAGAGAGACAGCAGGGTTTCGGTTCTAATTTACATCATGACTGCTAACGGACATTATGCCAGTGGAGGATTAGCAGGGGCTATTATCCCCATCCCGCCCTCCTTTTGCTCACACAACACACACTGCGTGCAGCTGACACAGGAGGAAGCAGGCTCAGCAAAGGGATGCAGGATTTTCTACTAAATTTTTTGTAACAATCAATGACTTCTAGTTACTGCTATTCATAAAAGGCAGACTTAGTTTAGCATTGACTATGCCCTCTAAAATTCAGTATCTCCAGCTTTTGCTTCCTCAAGAAATACTTCTAAATTAAATGCCTTGATATTTCATTAAGCATATAATCTGGTTAGCACTGCTCATGTAATGGCAGCTTTGTTCTATTGGAGCAGCAGGAGATGACTTGTTTAAACTGCTTCCTTAAATATATACAGCAGCCTGCACATGTGACTCATGATGTCCATTCTCGGAGTTTCAGGACTTTATCCTACTCAGGAAACAGTTCTCATTCTGGCTGGAAATAAATCCTCTACAGGCACTCTGAGTTAGAAATTAAAAATGGAATCACTACATGTAAGCACATTCCTAACTGTTCTTTTATCAGGAGTGTTAATTGCCTTCTAGTTAAATTACTTAAATCTAAGGTATCATGTTCATCATTTTTACAGGATTGTCCCTATGACACAAGAAAAACACATACCCTGCCCTCCTTCACTGACTCAGTGGAGAATGTGGATAGAAAAGCTTCATCCCAAGAAATCACTGGCAATAAAAGTACTCAACAAGCACCCTCTTTTCTTTCTGTTAAAAATTTGAGACCAATAGCCATATATATGGTTTTTTTTTAGTGCTCCTTCCAACAGCTAATGGGGTCAGAAGTGACAGGAAAGTAAGAAAATTGGAGCTTCAGCAGTTTTTAAAAAGACTGATGCTTCAGAGCAGCAGACCACACCCGAAGGGATAAGGGAAAATCAGTTCTTGCAAACTGTAACATCCACTGTAAATAATTCCTAGGAGTTGCAATTCCTGAGTAGTTAGCAATTAGCTAACAGAATCATTTAAAAGCAACATAGATATCACTGAACTGTACGGTAATAGCCTATTTTGTTGCCTTGTCTTTCAAGCCATAAGAAGGACATGGACCTGGAATGAGTCTAGAGGAGGGATGTGAGGATGTTCACAGGGCTGAAGCAATTCTATGAAGAAAGGCTGTGGCAGCTGAGTTTGTTCAGCTTGGAGAAGAGAAGCTGCTGGGGAGACCTCATTGTGTCCTTCAGGGGGACACATAACAGGGGGCCACATGAAAGCCAGAGAAAGATGTTTTCTTTTTTCTTTTCTTTTACAGACAACAGTCTGTAGAGATAGGATGAAGTGTAATGGGTGTAAACTGAAATAGGGTAGACTTGAGTTAGATACTAGGAATAAATTATTTACTATGAGAGTAGTAAGGCATAGGGTGCTCAGAGAAGCTGTGGATGCTCCATTCCTGGAGGCTCTCAAGGTCAGGGTGGATGGGGCCATGTGCAGCCTGAGCTGGTGAGCGGTAGCCCTGTCCACAGCAGGGGTTGGAACTGGTTGGACTTTAATTTACCTTCCAACCCAAGCCGTTCTGTGGTTCTATAATACTACGCTGTGTTCAGATTTTCATTTGGTACATCCAGTACTATCCTCAAAGTTAAGCACTCAGATTGACTTGACATCATTGTTCATTGCTGATCTTTGATTTGAATGGAGATCACCGATGAACAACCTTGATTTGTCTTGTCTGCTGTTTCTTCTACAGTTAAGGCAGCTCCTTTGCTCTCCAGACTTCTACCTACCAGCCTGCCTAATCTTACCTTCTTGGCAAGGCTAAATGCCCAGCAGGACCAGCTGCCCCTATCCTGGAAGAGCATGTTGAGTATGTTGTATAATCCACTGAGTCTTGATGTTGATCTACAGTAACTTTTAAACTGCAGTTGCAGCTTGTTACATTCCTGGTACTGGTGTGGCAAGAAACAATTTTCTTCCACAGGAAAATGTTCTACAAATGCAAGGGCAGATGAAGATCTGCTAACCTAACCAGTTATTTGATGCAGTTTGTACCTTTAACACTGTATGCCTATGGTCTCATTTGTAAGAGTAACACATCAATGAGCACTGTAACAGATTGGTAGGACTCAGAAGAGACAATACAGAGCTATTCTTGCCCCCCTGCAGTAAAGCAAAGAAAAGCTATTTAAATGGAAACAACCCCTGAAAAACAGTAAAGCATTTTTTCTTTGTACCTTGCACATACTTAGACAACCATTTTGAGAAAAGCAAATGTCAGTTTTGTTAAAGAACTCTTGCACGGACTTCTCACTTCCAGCTCTCTGTATGTATGTATGCACAGTATAATATTAACTTAGGAATTAAACCATACCTTAAAAAATTTCTAGGATCAAACAGTGTTTGACTGTCCAACAGGGATATATGAGACTGACACCAACAAACAGTGTTTATAAACCAGATGCTCATCGGCTTGCTCCTGATCCTTCATAGGCTTATTCCTTGCAAGCAGGGAAAGCCATTTTTGCTATTAGAGAACATTTTCAGACCATTACGCAGTATTTTGTTTTCACTGTGCATTGGCAGAGTCATGCAATAAATGTACTCCCTCAGATCTTTCTTCAAGCAAGTCGTGTGACTAGAGATCACTCAAGAAAATGAGGAGTTCAGACTTACTCCTAAGCTTGTATTCACTTACTGAGCACTGCAGTATGAAAATGAAAAAGAAGAAATTAATTACTACCTTGGGAGTCCCAAACTGTATCAGAACTGAAAAGAAAATTTATACTGCTCTAATGCTGATTTTATAGTCACATTGCAACTCCTTGCAAAGTATAAGAAAATTACAAGAACCATCCAGTTATCATCCTTGTGTAGAACTTGTGTACATGTGTAGAAGTCTATTGAATGTTTATTGGACAAAGCACAGAGCTGAGTCAGAAAAATCATACTCCATTCCTGTTTGTATAATCATTGTTATTCATCTGAAAGGCTGTGCTGATACACTGATCTCTATTTGCCACCTTCTTTAATTCATTCCTCCTGATAAAAACTGCTGAACTCTCCACAGAGCATCTCTTTTCTTTCTGACTTTTCTTGTCAGCTAGCTGACTTTCTTGTCCACAATTTTATTATCACTCTTCGATTTATGGAATTAGTAAAATTTGGCAAGAGATTCTGCAAAGACAGTATGAGCAACATTTCCCACAGTCTCTTTTCTCTGAGTGACTTTCCTAAATATTAGCCCTTATCTTTGGGTTGAGTCTGAATCCTTGTCAATGAAGCTCAAACCCTGCTATTGCTTGAACTGCTGTGATCAGTACTGCAGTTGCACCCATTACCAGGTATAGGGACAAAATGCACTACTGTACATAATACTTGAGTGTCGGGCCATTCAACTTTTTTTTCCCCAAATTATTAAAATGGTTTTAGAGAACATGCCATAGTTATGATAAATAACTTACTTATGTAGAAATCTCAGTGAACATCAGTTGTACCGCAGATGCAAAAGCAAAGCAGTTTATTCTCCCATCCTTCATTTTGTTGCACAAGGGTTACAGTAAATGAGATGAAAACACATTTTCCACTGACATTTTTCTTAAAAGAGATATAATTCCAACTGCATAATAATTTGCTGAAATGGATGCCAATTCTCTCATCATAGCTGCGTCTTTATTTGGGTGGTCAAAAGTGAAATTAACCATTCTTAAGCTCAAAGTGATTGTTAGTTTAGTTAGAGCTACCCAGTTACTCTCCTTTAGGAGCCAAAGATGAAAAGTGCCCAGTCTTTTTGTAACTTCATTATACGCACACATGCACCCTGTGCTGATAAGAAGACATTTTTACATGACCTCCATGTTGTGTTTTCTGAGGTATTCAAAGAGTAGCCCTGTGGTTTGGACTAATTCAGTAGCGTAAGCTAGCAGTCATTTCATCAGCTGCATACAAACTGCCTGAGAAAATACAAAGGGAAATAACAATGACAATGACAGTAACAACAATAACTTTCAAACCCTATCTGCCACTGTACCAAGGGCCCTTAAAAATATGTCATTAATCTCACCCGGGGAAAAAAAAGGTGACCAACAGGGCTAAGTACTGAAATTGCTATCGCGTGACTCAAGAATCTGAGCCTGCAGATCAGTATTTTTCAAGGCAGTTTCCAGTTACTTCTGGCCTCCTCCACATCGCCTGAGGTTAAAGCCTAAATTCACAGACAGGAGCCGGTATCTTCTGTTAACTTTGCCTGTGAAATGACTGCGTGCAGAGGGAAGTGAAATCCAACCCTCAGCCCACATTCAACTTTGCAGACCTATTTTCCCTCTTGCCAAAATACTGCTCATGAAGCAAATATGGGGATACAGAGGACTCTGTAAACAGTTCTTTTGCACTTTCTGGACTACCCCTACCCTGGTGCTACCCCTGTGCTGTCCCAAAGTGTTCCTCCTTGCTGAACACAGTGGGAGGAGGCGTAGGGGTGTTCTGTGCAGCCCCTCAGCCTCAGGGCAGGGGTTGTTACATGGCATGGCACCCCAAATGAGCACCGTCTGCCCATTGTCAGCTCTGTTCTGCCCACTGGATATCACAGCCTTTCTTCCTTAGAAGTCACATCTTCCATCAAAGCCATCAGGAAAATATAGCTTTCAATGCACTGCAATAAGTGGAGCAGCTAGAATGTTTTATTTTGTTCTGGAATAGCTAGAAATACTTTGAAACTACTTACTTTTCCCCTTTTGTGACACCTTATTGGGGTCTTTTGTTCTTATTTTTTGAAGTTACTTTGTTACTTTTTTGGCTTTCTCTCAAAGTGACTAACACAGAGAAATAGTTAGATTCCCCTTTACAAACGTTAACTTTCTCAGCATGAAATGTTGGTGTTTCTTTCTGCTTCTCACATGGAAAGGAGACTTCAAACATCTAAAAAACTAACAAAAGTTTTGATTTGAAAAGCCTCCATGTGCTACTGTAAAGTACAATCTGATTTGAACAGCTGGAAATCTTACTGAGATTACTACAAATTTCAGGGGACTAACAGAAATACCAACTGCAACAATCAGGACCCCTCATGGACACCTGCTTAGGGACTTAATTTTGCTTTAATGGGCTATTACCAAGGCTTTCCTTAACAAACTCCCTCTTCCCCCCTCAAAATCAATTCTGGATCAATACAGACACACATGCCCTGTATGGAGCCTTCTGTTCTTACGACAGGATTAAAAGATTCGTTAGTTTTATGATAGCTTGGTTAAAAGATGGAAATTGTAACAACAACAGCAAAAAAAACAAAACAAAACAAAACAAAAAAGAGATAGAGAAGATGCACATGTCCCCACAGGGTTTATGTCTGTTCTGCTTAACAAACTCAGCGCTTGCAAAGGTCTGACAGAAGGTATGCAACTCTGTATTGTCAAGGCAATGCGGCTCTAAGGAGTCCCATAGAATGGTGCTCAATCTCTGTGGATGATCAATTAAAAGCCTGCTTCCATCAAAATTCACTGCATTTTTAGGTAACATAAACTGAGCTAGCAGCAAACACGGGCAGACCAGCAGTTTTAGAAAAGAACTCCGTTCCTTTAACCAAACAAGTAAAAAACTTTAAGCAGAGCACGAACTGCATGAGATATCTGAGTACTGAAAGAACTTAATTAAAGCTCTGATGTAGGTAAATTTAAGAACCTTTAGCACTATGAAAAATATGTTACTTAAATAACTTTGTAATAGTCAGACCATTTTCTTTTTGAACCAAATCCAAGACACGAAAAAAGTCCATAAAGAGTTGTAAGTTCATTAGTTATATCCCAATAGCAAGCAGCCTTAAAAAGCATTTTAAATGCTGAACAATACAAAAACATGCAGCATCCACAGCTATTCAATCGATAATTCACTCACCTTCTTACAGTTTCCAGACATAAGATTTAAAAAAAAAATATTTCCTGCATTATGACCTACAATGGTGTTCAAAGAATAAAACTTTTTCTACCAAATATACAGATTTACTGCAGTGAGCACAAATGAATATTGCCTGCAAAAAGGAAAATACTTCAGATTTCTGCATTATTAATTAATATCAACCAGTCTACTTTTGACTAAAAAGCCACTTTAAAAATAGTAAATAGTGTTTTATCTACCCAGCTAGTTATACTGCATTCATTTGGGTTTTGGATAACTGTGTACAGGAAATCTGGTCTTAATAGAAAAAGGGCATTATGTTGCTACAACAGACTGTGTATGTTTATTCTTTAATTATGAGACTGTAAAGAAACAAAAGGATGTATATTCTCTGTGCATCGATTTGCTTGTCTGACTTCAAAACAAACAACACTGAAAGGATTTTCAAGTGTTTGTTGGTATTTGGGGTTCTTCCTGAGAAGGGATACCTGCTCTGATTGCATGAAAGAAAAAGCAAATCTAAAAACAAGCAGTGATTTAATCTTAAGGGAGCTGATGCTGCATTGATTCTCTATCAGAAACATAGTGATTGTATCAACTTTTTGGATGCAGAATAGTCTCTGTTACACAGAGATATGCTTGAATTTTCAGTCTTTTTTGCTTTGCACAATCAGAAAGTACATGGTTTTCATTTAAAAGAGTCACTCTACCAAATGCATTCATTTTTCCCACACATATTTACAGTTCTATTTTCAAAATACTTTGCCTGAGTTGCTGAGTAAACAGAGTTCACATTTACTGGCAACAAGGACTCACACAAACCGTATCCAATTAGAAATCACAGCTTTAGATGAAGAATATACAGCGACGACATTTCAGACGAGAAACTTTCTTATCTAGCTCACTGCTGAATAGTACGTGAACTTAATTGCCACAAAAAGCAGAAAGCAAGCAATAGAATTGAAAATGTCTTTTACAGATTAAGAAAAAGTGCTTGGAAATCCTCATCGCTCACAGAAAACCTTACAATCACCTAGCAACCTCTGTTACTGCTGCTTTCAATTTTGAACAGGCAGCCTTCACATTCAAAGATGTATCTGAGCCAACTGATGCAACTGTAAGTTTAAAGCAAAACAAAAACATAAACAGAGATTTTTTTTTGTTATTTAAATAAATTGCCCCTACCTTTCTTCTGAGAGTACGATGGCGACTGCACTTGAGAAAAAGTAGGTTTTTCTTCGGTGAAATATTCAGGTTGGTTGTACTGATTCAGGGCCATGTCCATGTCAGAGTACTCGCTTTTAAACACGTTTCCAGGGTAACTACAGGTATAAGGCTGATTCACCGCCCAGGCCTGTTCCATATATATGTTGTTACTGTGCAGGACCTGAGCATCGCAACTGCTGTAACCCTGATTATCTTCGATATATGTGCAATAATCAGTGGACTGCATGTAGCAATTGCTACCAGCAGCTGGGTGCACTTCATATATTTCTTGCATACAGTAGTTCATTTTGTTAGCCTATCTCAGCTCCTACTTTACGTACGCACACACACACACACAGGCATGCATACACATGGGACGGAAAGGAGCACTGAATATACAACACCGACAAAGTCGACAGCAAAACAGCCCTTTTTACTTTGGAGCGGCACCCGATGTGCTAAAATCCTATTTATACTGGGATGGCTTCTGAACTCCCCTGCCAGTCAAACATATTGGGAAGCAGATTTATGACAGTCAAAGGTCTTAATCTGTGACTGTAAGTTAATTCCAAGGGAAGATGGCAGACAGGTAGCAATGAGCACCAGACAAAGAAGCGACGTCCCGACAACCCTCCTGTTCCACTGTTTGTCTGTAATAATCATTTTATAAACCGTTTTCAGCCCTTCACAATATGATTAGAAAATGATTACTAAGGCAAGGACACAGTTATGTCACTGTAGTTGTCAACTTAAGTGTGAAGCATTATAAAGACTGCTTAAGAACTCCCAGAGGGGACACGCTGAAAATCCTAAAATCAATAATCCTGTTTTTCAGCATTAAACCACAGAAAATCCAATAGTGCTGTACTGATGACCCAAACAGAAGTCTAGTTTTACAAAATTTAGCAACTTAATCTGTTATCAGCTTTATTGATTTTGTTTTACAGAATTACATGCATGAATCTCCCCAGCCTTCCACACACGCACAATCCTCCCTATTGCCTGCTAATGCATTTACGGGAAAGCAGCTTTTTTAAACTTCAGTGATTTGGGGAGGTAATTTCTATTGAGTTCAACAGGTGGGAAACTTCAAAATAATGTCAGTTAATCAGCAAAAGGAACCCTGCTTAAACATCATCAATAAGCTAATTGTTGGCTATTTTGCTTTGTTAACATTTACGTTTCAGTAATGAAGAGCTTTTAGAAACCCATCTTTGTGACAACATACAAAGAGAGTAAGGAGAGATATTTGCTTGTTTTAGCTCACATATGAGCTATGAACCTTTTAATGCTACTACAACAAATACTATGTGTTCTTATAATTGCCAAACGTATCCCCAACATCATTGCAATTACTGTATCTTGTTTAAACAGCCTTTCTTTTTTCACCCAGAAGAAACTGCTTCATTTTTAGCTTGAATTAGCTGCTTTTTTTTTTTTTTTTTTTCCCCCACTAGGCAAAATGCTTTTTCTTTACAGCACAGCTGAAACACAGTAAAACTGGTGAAGTCAGAAATAAGATGGCATCTCTTTTTAATGTCTGTACTTATTATTACGAAGCAGAATTACTGATTTGACAATCGGGTCTTGGCTTTGCTATTTCACTCATTTTAAACAATGCACAAGATCGCCAAAACAATCCTGTAGGTTGGCACTTTTCATATGCAACTTTAAGAACACATCTAACAACTTAAATCAACATACACCTTACATGTTCCTCACAAGTTTCTTAAATACGGAAGAATCGGGCATGACACATGCACATTTCTCCTCACCCAACACTCTTAAATGTTTCAGACTATTGTGAAGAGCCCACAGAGAAATGGTCTCCCTTCCAACACAAAAGCAAACTAACTCAGTTAAGAAAGAAGCGTTGCCAGTCAGTATGTAACATGTAGGCTGAACAGAACTCAAGCTTCTGAAGATGAGAGGAGTTACAGTTTATGCTCAGAATACTTCTAACTATAAAAGAAGCATTTCTCATTAACACATCCACAAAGAGTTTTACATTAAATAGGTTGAAACGTACTCTATCAAGATTGGTTCTACTGACGTCCAACTTCTAATGAAGCTGCTTCCAAAATGAACTTACTCTGATAAAACTGATAATTTAAAGTAACTCTTCACTAAAAGCACTAGTAGTTAGCAAAATCCTAGAAGTAAAATGTCAGTGAACCCACATTCTCTGTACTCTTTTTAACTAACTCAACAAACAGCATTGTGAAACTGTGACTAAGCTCACATAGAAAATTTCATTTGAGCTCCAGTTCATGATCTAGATTTTACAAACAGTAAATTTGTCTACAATAAAAAGCATGTATGCATCTGGCAGGACCTGATTTTTCTAGAACGGATGTTCAGCACTTCCTCTAACAACATGCCTGTCTTTCCTAAGAAAATTTGTAATAGCTGTTTATACAGAAACCCTCAAACCATGTCCATTTATGTGATCGGCTGGTAATCCTGTACTACATAGAAATGTGATGCATACAACCTGCCAAGCTTACTTCTCCACGTTTCCCAGAAAGAAAACATTCCACAAGTGAGACTGCACAAAGGTGAGGCTGTGTTTTACAGGACAGCAGAGCAGAACGCTTAAGATATTTTTGCACCATCCAGAAAAACATTTTGAAGGCTGAACTTCAAGTTCTCAGTGGGTATTTCTTCCCTTGTGGATTTGTTCTGCCAGATAAAGCAAAATTTCTTCTCTCTTGTTCTTCCCGTTCATTGATATAGGTTTGTTACTGAAAAACTAAACAGAATTGAGACCATATGCAGACAGAGCCACCCCAGCCAGGATTAAACCTGAGGATATGGTATCATGATGTGACACAGTCTGTGAATTTCTTTTTATTCCAGGATCAATTCCTTAAAACATTTTTTGTTTTCTGTTGCTCTGTCAATAATATTTTGAAGTGTGTCATATGTACTACTTTTCACTGAATGACTGTGATATCAGAAGGAAATTAATTTACAAGATACTGCAAAGAATGAAGAGAAAAAGCAAAGGGGATGGTTGAGTCTTTCCTTAAAGAAAACAAAAAAAAAAAAAAAAAAGAAGAAGAAAAGATAAACATTGCCAGGGAATGAGTTTTCTACCTGTAAAAAGCTAGCACTGAAAAGGTTGATAGCACTGCGGACTGCTGTTCCCTTGGAAACAAATCAGTTCAAAGAACACTGTAAAGATTTAACTTCACTATTAAAACTGAAATATTCCTATAATATTTTCATGTGACTCTTTCAGAGTCCAATCCTGCAGGCCCCTTTCATGCATTACTTTGAATTAAATCATCTGATAAAAGGCAGTCAGACAGGTCGTTATCAAAAGTCTGAAAGTAGAGTAGAAAACAATATTTACAACTGTTCTTCATCTTGTATTCTGACTTGAACATCAGAGCCTTAAAACATGTCAAGTTGAGCTTTCACTGCTTTCAGCAATGTAGTATCAGGTTTAGAATTTTCTTGGTTCACAAGTGTCTGCTTTTGGTAACGTGGAAATCGACTGCTAGTGGAACAAAACCACAGCTGCAAGCAGAGGCCAATGGTAGAACCTTTGACATCGTGGCAGAAGAGGATTCAAAGCATGAATCCTAGGAAGAAGTTGGAGGTGTTGGTTCATTGTATCCAAAGAGAAAAAAATTAATGCTAAACCCAAACCCTGAATGCCCCAAACGTACTGAGATACTCACCTGATGCAAATCAGAAGTTAGTGCAGCGCAGTCGGCGATGTTACTGTGGCTGAGCAGAACTACACAGCCTCGCTGCATACGCCTGAGGGAGGCTTTTGCAGGCAGATTGCCTTACAGTACATCACACTGCTCTCCACAGACTCGTGTTACAGTCGCAGCCTAAAACCTTTAATTATGAACAAATAAATGCCCCAACAAGCTGCACTTCTCTTGTGACTTGACTCAGATATCAAAATATCAAAATGAACTCTTTGTTTTAAGGAAAAATTGTGTTCCTGTAGATGACTCTCACAACGGAATACCCCAAACAGCTGAGACCCTGAACACAGAAAACACACCACTGCTCAACATAACCCACCCCACCTCGTAGCACTGCTACCTGTGGGACTGCGGCACGCTACCCACAGGAGTCACCTTCACCTCACGGCTCCTAAACTGCACTTCCTGCTGTATCGCAGGGCCATCTCAACGCAGGGCTGCTACGCTCCACTTCCAAATATTCTGCATATGTGGAAGGTATTGCACAGCATTCAGATGGTTCAGGGTTCTGCAGGACCCAAGGATAGTACTGAGGCTCTGCTTACACTTTATGCATGCAGATGGAAAAAACTGAACTATTTAGTCGCAAGAGCTTTGCACATTGGAGTATGTTGTTGCAAGGATTAACCGTACCTTTCTAAATTCTGTTATCCATGTTCCTATTACCAGCACCTGGTTTTTAATATGCATCTTTACATGTTACAAAATAAATTGCATTTCCTATTTGTCGTTCTTCGCCTTGCCTGCATTCTCTCAGTTACTTCTAATGAAGGTTATGTGGGAAAAATAAATCAGATTGCTGCTTTTCAAAACAACTCAGGACTCCTAGCATTTAATGTGGAACACATCCCAGTCTGTATCTCTGCATATCAGGAAAAGAATACACTGAAAAAAAACTTTTAAGCAGTGCTAATATGGCTTTTGCTACTCATCAACTGTCAAAGTTCAGCTATCTCCTTGCCCACAAGTCACAGCCATGAGTTAATGCATAGCTTTGCACTACTTTACAATTCATGCACTTTACACTCTGTGACCAGAGAAGACTCAAAATGATGCTTCAAAAATACAGTGTGCAAGCTTATTGTTTGTGGATGCCGGGTATCTGCTTATCACACCAGTTCTGACCCTCACAGATAGCGTTACGAACTAAGAAAGAAAAGCACAAACTTCAGAATCCAAAATGATACCAAGCACTCACAAGAACAGAAAAGGATCTCTATACAATATTTACCTTATTTTGAAAACTCTACTTCTGACTGAATTGAAAAGTATGTAAAACTATGCAATTTTATTGCTGTAAAATTACAATTTGATGGTTCAGAGAGAGTGTCTCAATGGAATCAAAGACACTAAAATTGTCACTTTGTCTACCCTGAATTTGTAATATCAAGGAATGGAGTACAGGGAAAAAGAGCTGAAGCTTTCTGGCATAAAATCATTCCTTTGTTTGGAACAGATACAGCAAGTTTCAAACTAGCTGCCTCTGGTTTAAACCTGATGAAGCGCTTACTTACACAACATACGTCTCTTTTTCTCAACATGTGTCAGTTTGCTCCTCAGAACCTGCTTCTCTCACAAA